TATTTTTTTGTTTCTATTTATAGACATAATTTTCTATGATATATTAAGCAGCAGTCGATTGCAGGATAAAAAAGTTACAAAGCTAACAACTTTTCTACCCACAACCAACGGATATACTTACAACCAGTTAACGGGTGTGTTTATTATTAAAGTCAATATTTACCAAATAAAACATTACAATGGTTTAAAATTACAGCTTGATAAATATTGCCAAAAAACTTAGATTCAACGGACAAAACATGTATCATTCATCTAGTTCCATATATATGTACGAGCCTGTGGTGAATATTTTTCTTTTTTCTATAAATATCGCGCAAAATGTATCGATAACGCTCAATCTTAAAAAATGGGTTGGGCATCCTTTTTATAATTTAAGTAGTTTTTGTACTGTATCATGGTCATATACGTTTTCGTTATCAATACGTCACCTTAGTGCAGTAACAGGTTAACTCCTTACATAATTAAATAGGAGTTAACCCGTTACTGAACTAAGGTGACGAATTATTGGTCAATTACCATTATAATAGTCAATCTTTGGAAATAATAGTTCAATTCAACTTGGCAGCAATAATAACTATAAGAAGAGTCCAACTTTTAACATAAAATGTTGAATTTTGAATTAAGAAACGTGTGCAGATTTGTTCATACGGTGCTTATCACAAAAACTTTAATGAGTCACATTAATGACATATCACGAAAAAAGTAAATGAATGTGTGTACCTTATACAGGAAAACAATAGGCGAAACAAAATAAAATGGAAAGCGAACTGGATTCAGAGGTGTAACCTGCATATAAAAGGTAGGTTTTTGAAAAAGATGGATGATTATCAGGCCCCATAAGGAAAAATTAGAACATGCAACTAAAAACGAACTCAAAACAAAAAAAAATGTGTGCTGAACAATAATAAAAGATCAGAAAAAACATTCTGATGAATTAAAAGGGTACAGCTGAGATGAACTGTATATGTTGAGTGTGGTGTCAAATTTTTTGTTGAAAAAGAGGTTTAAGGGTGGAAATATGATCTTTAAACATATAAATTTAAACATACTCATATAGATTGTGTTGAATTTCACCAAATTTTTTTTAATATTTGGTCTAATCCATACAACAAAAAATATTAGAATTTTTTTCCTAAATGATGTATCAGTGTCCGTATTGTAACTAGAGTGTATTTATTGAGTGAAATTTAAGTTAACTAAACATTTCTTGCGTCAAGTATAGATATCAAAATTGAATTGCATGATTTAGATTGTCTTCGGAACATAGTCGGAATTTAGTATCCATCTTAGGGTTTAAGTAAATTATACATGCATCTTTCTTTACCTCTTGTCATATGTTTCTTTACTTCTTTTCTTACCATTGTCATATTCCTAAACTAAACGAGTTGCGAGATAAACAATTACTGCATCTACTTCGAAATCCCATAGGAAAGTAAGCAAACTACATTTTAAATTAAGAGAGAGAGAGAGAGGGAGAGAGCAGTTGTAACTACGCATAGAAGTACTAAACACATAAAATTATCAAAACTGATAAACAAACACAGACACCTTTCATGCTCACATTAGATGACTTCAATTTCTTGCTGTTGTATTAGCTTTGGGATATCAATTTTAAAAATTAATTATTTTTTTTATCTAACTGTCTAAAGCCTGGCCAGACTGCACAGGTGTGACAAAAACTTTCTTTCTGTTCGTGTAGGGAAAGGATAATAAATTAAAAAAATATATCCTGATAGAGGAAAATGAAAAAAGGGGTTTTTGGAATTAATGACGTAATGCATGTTGTCATGTTAACAATTCAATAAATTTTGGTATATTTGGACTTTTCCAAAAATATTCATCTAAAAGCTGTTTTCTCAAATCATTGTACATGGGTTATTCCAATAATACATTAAATGCATCTTTTAATTTAGAGAAAATATTAGATTTTCTTTCATTATATGGAATTGCTTCAGGTTAATGCCCTAATGCCCTCTACTGGTTTCTACCTTTAATCTATATGAAGAAGTTTTGGAACGTGATAAAGATTATCCTAACTTTTTTATGATATGCTTGCAGGACAAAATTACAAAGTAACTTCTTGCTCTTGGTTAATCTTTTAAGTTTTTTCCGCTACCCAAATTTTCTATTAAAATTGAAAATATTTTAAAATCTTTTGGTTTAATTTAACTTTAAAAATATTACCCCTTTTGTTTAAAAGCCCAAAATTTTAACCTATATTTCCATGAAATTAAAATTCTAACCAAAAAAAAGAACACAAAATGGAAGGCTAGTACAATATCATTTAGGTCCCTTAGCAAAAGATTTAGCGGAAAACAATATATAACAAGATATGCCGGTGTCAATTATCACTTTACATGTCCCATCAGAATTGAAAATATTTTCGGAGTATTTGAAAGGTGAATGTCGGTATGTCACTGCGAAAGGTAATTAGATATATGTCACTCATACAGAATTCAATCTAGCTAACAACTTTACTCGTTTTGATTGGAATTGATCATCTGAACATGATGTGACAAACGTATTCCTCCTGACATTTAACTTTCTAGAATATAATCATACAATAAAACGATTAACAGTAATGTTATCTGATGTCTGGCTTATTTATTAAAATGAACTTTTATTTTGTTCACACTTTGTTTCAATTTGAATGTGGGGAGCGTTCTAAAGTCTATACTTCATTTTATTTGCCTTAAAGGAAAGCTTTTAAAATACATTTAGGAAAAATGAGTATATTGCATAGTCAAATAAGAATATAAAAGTACTTTGAGGTCTACAACAGTCATTTTTTTCAAAATTAAGATGATCCGTCACTAACTGTGACTACAAATGCAAATGTATATTGTTTTAAAAATAAAATACAAATTAAAATGATAAAATAAAAACTATAATACAACGTAAAAATACATCGTGTTGTTTGCTGATCATAAATGGATTGCACGTTTCATTTTTCTAGTTACATGTGTAAATGTTAAAGATGCTGTATGTTGTAATTGAGGTTGTATATCACACTTAAATGAAATGTTATATATGTATATAATTATGCTTATAAAACAATTTATAAACATCGAAGAATATGTAAAATATATACTGCAAATATTTGGGCACATTATATGTAATCATTAAAATATATTCATTAATTTCTTATTGACAAATTTGACTTAGACTTTATAGAAAATAAATTTCTAATTGCCTCCCTTTATTTACATGAAATGTTAAATTCGGTAATATATTTATAAATAATGCTAATGGGAACTTACAATATTGATAAATTTTAATTTGAGCATCATATTTATGATATAAAACCATAACAAATTTGTGTTACAGGATCTTTAAGTAACTATTAATGTAACATTTGCTAATGTGATGAGAGAAATCTATGTTTATGTTAAAGTTTATGTTAAAGCACGATAGCTCTTAACACACAGAGCTCAAGAGATACAAATGTGTTTTTACCGTTGTAAACAATTGTTTGTTGTTGGATTTTTGCATAATTTGTATGAATAAAAGATAATTACATGCATAACAATAATCAACAGTATAAAAAAGCATCATGTACACACGCCAGAAGCAATAAAATATTGATAAGACATTATTATTATGATGAATTAACTGTTCCAGATGGCCTCATAACAATGAGCATATATTACTGGTTACCGATGACGTCCATATTTTAAATTTAATAGCTGAAAATCAGTATAGGTTTAATCTTCGCAAAGGACCATTAACGTTTCATATAGAGATTTTAACCAGGATGTTTCAACTGTAAATGTCCAAATATCACAGGAACGTGTAATTTGATATATCAGACAAATCTACAGAATTAATAGAATAGAATATTATTGATTCCAATCATATGTGGTCTCTGTCTATGCGATCCTCTACTTTATATCACGATAAACCGATTAACTACGTTACTTCAGGTTATTACGTACATGTGATTGTATTTGCATTTTATATATTCTTTTACTGTGTATTAAATATGATAAAATAATACACTGTTTGAAATGATTGTTTGAATATGTGATGATAAACATTAAAGACCACTAGATGATATTATATCAATAAGACATGGGTTTGTGGGTAACAGTAAAAATATCATCCCGAGGAAAATACTGTTACCCGAGGCGTAGGAAACAAAAATACTGTGATGATCTGAAATTGTCAACTAAATCTAACTACAACAAAAATAAACCAAGAGTAAACAGTAACTGAACTATCCTTACCTTTTAAGTTTAAAGTGTACTTTAGGCCTACTTGAGAAGTTTTCTTTTTCTTTTATTCTTTAAGCAAGTGATGATATCTACTAGTCATAAACATACAATAAGCCGTGTTTAATTTAGAAAATTTAATATAAAAATAACTACTAATCAGGCATTCTAACACATATCTTATTTTTTCCCGTGAAAAATACATTTTTCAAAAATTAAAAGAATGTACATTGTACTTAAGTTATTGCTTTGACGTGACTACGTATGTTACGATGGTTGGTATTTCTGCTAAAATTCTGTTGATTAGCGATATATACTTTTTTACCTGCAATCATACATAGTAATAATGTATCATCAAAATATAATTCACTGCTATGATTTCAGAGATGTATTAAAATTCATGTAATGAACACTGTTTATATTCTATTTAAGTAATGTACATTAATTTGATTTCATAATGCTGGTTATCTTAGCTGTGAACTTCTTTTATTGCAATACAGACTATTGTTGTGACATGTTACTCTCTTTCAAAACACTGACAGATGTTATCTCTGATATTAAACTTTTACGTTCACCAGTGTCTTGATTTAATTATACAACGCCTATTCTTTAATGGCATTAATCAGATAAACATACACGCGATAAGATATTTGTAACGTGTCCTTACTACTTAATTGTCAAGTAATTATTTATGATTCTCTTACGCTATCTCATGTATAAAAAAATATTTTTGTAAAGCTTTTTGTTTACTCGATTGATAGAGCCTGTACACGGACGACAGTAGAGATTGCAAGCGGATTTCAAAAATAAACAGGGAACTGGTCATACATTCTTCGCGTCATTGCCTATCGTGATGAAGAGATGTTACTGTCCGCCACTCACCGTGTCAGGAACCACTTTCCTTTGAAAGCGTAATAAGTTTTTTTATATGTGTCTTAAAGTGAAATATATTACTTTTAAGATAAAATTATTTCTCAGGATTGGATGTTGGTATCGGACATTAATGGCGATCAATCTATTGGTACCAGGCTGCGTTTGCTGCAACTTCTGCATGCTAATTAATATTATTGGAAAATTTTATTGTGTGAGAGACGAGGTTTTATGGACTGATTAATCAACCATACAAGTTTTCCACATGCGCTACATGGGATATACGTGCTTTATTTAGATCATGAAATTGTATTCAGGTCTTACAACATTATCAGGTAATATGCTTTTATTTTATATCATTTCGATTTATCTGAACCTACAACATCAATTACAAAACCTAATTGCAAATTTATAAATTGTAAAAATATTTTATTATTAATGTTTTTAAAACTAATACTTTTAAAGGATCGGTGATTGTTGTACATAAATAAGCACTGTAGGTATTTCTTGAACAGTAATGAGTTTATAGTGTTTGATATTGGGAGTATTTGAACTTATTTCTCTGGATATTTATAAGCATGGAGAGAAGAAAACGGAATGTTAATTGCATATTTTAAGTCATAATAGATCATAAGACTTTTATTTATTTTAGTATTTGAATGAAAACATGCTGATGCTGTCACAATGAAGCAGCGTGTATTGCACATTTCGTGTTCCCAATTTGACAGGAATAATACATTAGTTACAAATAAAACGACATCATTTCCACTTTTGTTGACTATTTTACGAGGCTGCCTTTATAGAAATAGTTCATCACTTCAGCTGTTTGTTGACTTAGTTGAGACTGACAAGGAACCTGAAATAAACAAAGATTTCGGTGCTCTCATGTATATTGTCACAGTTCTTCTATTATATTCATGTGGAATATTTTTCATGATAATGAAAAATTTGAAAAGAGAAAAGCATGAGGTGGATGAGGAGAGGACGCTTGATGACTTCTTTCGAGGAATACCTGTCAGTGAAAAGGAGCGTGAACAAATAAATGTACACCGTATTGCTATACAAGCTTTCAATACATTAACATCCAGTAAATCACAGGAAATAAGTGGAATAGATGAGTTTGATTATTATCACCAAAATAAATCTTACAATGCTAACGTTCAATCTTATGGTGTAGATACAATTGAAGAAGATGAAGATGAGGAATATGAAAGTAATGATTTCATGTATGAAGATAATGACATCGACAGTGATAAAGAAAGTGACGCGGAAACATCTGATAACATAGAATAAACATATTATGTCTACACTGTAAATGTATAAACAAGTGCAATGGAAGAACATCAACACAGACTTTGTTTAACACTACATAATTTCTAGTATATTTTCTAATTGAAATACAGCATGGTATCTGCTGATACTACGATATAATAGGTATTAAGCATAACCTTCGTGTGAGTATTATTCCATAGGATATGATAAAAAGATAAAAAGTTATGAATAAACTTCTTGGTATATTTAAAAGTATAGAATTGAAACATTATCAAAGACAAACTTTTTTTCAACAATTGGAATTTAGAAATAAACAACTTGTTAATATATATTAACAACGATGGGGGAAAAATAGCATTTGATACATAGAAGCAATTAACATGTATTGGTAATTTATCAATGATATTTTTCTCGAAATATTGAACTTCTTTTACATTCTGTGGACATTTCTTGATTATTCAACAAATTATATGCTTTTCTTACTCCAATGTTGCGTTTTCGCTATTTAACCTTTTGTCCGATGCATGTCTTCGGTTGATTACTGTGGCTTTAAGCAGCATGTCCTCTTTAACTACTAGGCCAATGGAAAAATGATAGTCCTTTGTTAGACTTGCATCATTTTTACTTGCTACATAGATCATAAGGAAACATTTGCCGATATTCTTCTATTGAAATTTATCATTTTGGCATTAAGTTTGCTGCGTCAGTCGTTTTCTATTTGTATCATTTTATCATTACTATGCTAGATTATTTCTTTTCTATTATTTCATCATGCTGGCATTAAGTTTTCTATGTTAGTCTATTTCTTTTGCATTATATTACCATTGTTAAATTAAGTTTGTTATATCAGTCTATTTTCTTTTATATGACTTTATCATTTGATATTTAGTTTTCTATGTCCGCCTATTTCCTTTTGTATTTTCCTGTTATTTTGGCATTACCTTTGCTTCAACAGTCTATTCCCTTTTGTAAAATATTATCCCGAAAGTAAGACTTGTAGCGCACGTGTGCACAATAAAATAAATACAAGGACAATAATTGTTGATGTTTTTGTTAATTTTTTTCACTTAATGAATAGCTATATTTAGATTAAATGATTACAAAATAAAGGAAAGTCTCGTTAGGTGGACGTATTTCGTGCACAATTTTGTATTTATTAAAATTTCTACCACTCTTTTTTTTATTTATTTCATTTTTCTTGAGCATCTTAATCTTAAGTTTCAAAGGGGAGGGATTCATTTATTGTACTAAGAGTCTATTAACTTTTGTAAAAATATCTTATTTTTTACAGCTACATTCAGGTTATTTATATATTTCCTTTGAAATTTGTTAGTTTTTAAAGACATTAAAATAAAGCCATCCCTTTGCTTGTAACATATGTGTTAAATTTTAAGTACTATTGTTTGTAAGATGTCGATTTCCGGAAACGTTGTCAGGTCCTATTGGATAGAAATATTGATGTTAAATTCACTGCTAATTGCATTTGATAAGAAAGTCCCAGGTTTAACATTTTCGCTTTTGGCCTCTGTTTTAAACTCCGTTCAGAAATTCGCAAGCCGTCTTTAATTAGCGTATTAGATCCTTTTCTATTTACATACTTGTATGACCTAAACGTCGAAACGGCATATTTGATTGGCCTATAACTAATGAAAATAACTGTCACAAATAGCGGCGAATATGTGCCTAACGCGCAGTACAATATACTTATTACTGCGTTTGTTGTCTCTGTTAATGCCCAAGTAGAAAGTTTTATGAAGTTACTATTGACGAAATTGTGTTTAAATAACTGGTTCTACTTAAAGCTTCATCTTTTTCTTCTGCTAAATCTAAACACAGAACACAAGCAACATCTTAGTTCCATTAGCGTTTGATTGTGAAGAAGCCTCCAGAGGTACAAATGATCATTAGTTGTGTTTTTGATTGTTAGGAGAAATACTTGTTACATGTTTTTGATATGGATGTCGTGTTTATATGCATTGGATGAATTTTAATTAAAATGTCCTCATAAATATAGAAACAAGATTCAATGATGGGAATAAAACTGAATTGCGTAAATAAATACAACTTGATGACGTAATTTATAAATGATCATAATAAAACTTACGTTCTTAAATCATCAATAAAGTTATTATGAAAAGCATAAGAGTCAAAGAGATGACACCAATTTCAACTCAGTTTTCAAAATTATCTCCGTAAATGGTAGAGAACACACACACACACACACGCACGCGCACGCACGCACACACACACTTCACATGTACAATATATGCTGATCCAATCTTGAAGCGGCACGCCTGTGAAAGTATTCTCTGTTGTTTTGTCAAAACCTCATAGAAAATATGTAAAAATATGCTGCAAATGTCATTTAAAATATTACGCTCCCATCACATGTTAGCCAAACTCTCTGCAATTGAGAACCGTGTCAATAACGTAAATGGTCCAGGTACTTTAAAAAAAAATCAACAAGAAGTCATCGGAAATCAACAAGAATGATGACCATCAAAATTCAATACCGTTGTAGTGCCGAGGATACAGTACCAGCAAAAGCTGGTATAACCTTGGTACAGATATGAAAGGTTTCAATAAGACCTGACACTGAAGATCTACTGGAAGTTATTTCAAACAGGCATGTCCAGTATCACCACGATTGGACAATGGTTACAAACGGTAATAGTATTCTCTACGACTGTATAATATCCATTGAGGGGATATGTATTCTAAACATCCCAGCTGGAGAAAGAGGAGTTGATTTGTTCATTCCGTTTAGTAACTTGTGATCATGAGCTACGTTCATCATCTATTTTATATCAACTCAACAAATAGCATGTAACGTTTGCTTCACAGTAATTTCAATAAGTTATATTGTTGTTTCTTTTCCAGACGATATCTTTTTCTGACGATGACAATTATTTTATTAACTATACGAGATGTGTTCGACGTGTATTGTACAGTTTCATATGCCACATAAAACAGATGCTAGTACCGTATGTACCGGATATACCGTGATGAATCGGTTTCTAGTCACTTAAATACTGTCAGGATATCGGTGCTACAGCTGAAGCAAACTATAAAACAGAGAAAACAGAATCCTTAAAGAAAGCCCATCATGGCAAAATTGAGATATGTTGCAGGCTCGGTTTGATTGAGCCTGTTCATGGACGGTACTGGAAAGTGCAAGTTACCGTTCACGTCCCTGGTACCGGCTTAAACAGAATTCAACATTTAAACACAAAAATGGTGAAATTTGTAATTTAGAAACATCCGCAGATGTGTTAGTATTGCGGTTATCATGGAAGCTTCAATGTGACATAGTAGTGCCATTCCATAAAATGCGGTGTATGGTCTCCAAGTAAAAGAATGCGTGTAATAATGGGCGGAACTTAATAAAATGAAATTTTTAAAGGGGATCTGAGGTTTTCAGTCAAAAAGCAGGCAACATATCCTAATTCCTGTTATGTGCACTCCGGATGCATAAGATAATGGGAACTGAATAGAAGGTTGGTTATCTTAAGAAACATATTGCCCAAAAATGTGTAAGTTATTACAAGCTTTTAATATTAGTGAGAATTTGTGATATAAGTTCTTTAAATGTATCGGAGACCTTGTCCTTATTCTAGAAGGGATCGGACCGACTACCCCAGATGTAGAGACATCTTAACCACTTGTTAATGTGTTTTCATTTCAAATGTCATTTTGTCTAATGTTATACATTAAATCATTTATTTCGTAACCATTTGTTTCCACTTTTCAACTATTTTTCGGCAAAGAAACCATAACTTTCATATCAGCTTTAAAGGAAAAAATAATTTCAAATGTTGTAGAATTTAAGATATTTTGTCCGCCCATGGCGTTGTGATACCCGTAACAGTTGCCAAGGGTACGCAACGTCGTCATGCTCAAAAACTGGCTTTGATGGTCAACTTTGACGTCGTGTGTACACAAAATGGCTGAAACTATTGGTATATAATCAACGGAATCTAATCAGAAATATGGTCGACATTTTGCATGCCAATTTTAAGACGCTTCTTGAAAGTTTGTGTTCTACCTTAAGAAGAATTCAATATTTAACATAAAATTCTGAATTTTGAATTTAGAAACAATTGCAAATTTGTTAATACGGTGCTTATCACAGAAACTTGAATGAGTAACGTAAATGTCATAGATGTTATGAGATGTTATAACCGATCTTTGATGATTGTTCAGCACGACATTATTGTTATGTTTGTGGTACTCTTAGTTCTTTCCTTTTTGTTTTCTAGTTGGTGGCTCTAATTATTCCTTACTTGGAGCCTGTATAATCATCCTATCTTTTTTATTTGTCTTTTGATAGCTTATCTGTGATATGCAGGTATCAAAATACATAACATCTCTGATTGAATGTACAGGGTATCACTGCGAAGAAAAAGACAATGAACGTGTATATGCCAGAGTGTGAGTGTCCAAATTACTTGTATTGAAAAACACGGGATAAAGTGTCGGAAATAATGAATACTTCTTTGTTAATACTTTAACATATACATTGTGTTGAGTTTCACCAGATTATTTACAATATTTTGTCGTTAGTATCCTATGACATCACAATAAAATATTCATGAAGTTTTTCCTGATGATGTATCATGTGCCCGTATTGTAACTAGAGTGTATTTATTGAGTGAAATTCTAGTTAACTAAACATTTCTTGCGTCAAGGAAAGATATTAAAATGGAATAACATGATTTAGAATGTCTTCGGAAATAGTCGGAATTTAGTATCCATCTTAGGGTTTAACTAAATTCTGCATGCATCTTCCTTTACCTCCTGTCATATGTTTATTTACTTCTTTTCTTAAATGTCTTATTCCTAAACGAGATAAACAATTACTGCATCTACTTCGAAATCCCATAGGAAAGTAAGCAAGCTTCATTTTAAATTAAGAGAGAGCAGTTGTAACTACGCATAAAGAAAGTACTGAACACTTAAAATTATTAAAACTGATAAACGAACACAGACACCTTTCATGCTCACATAAGATGACTTCAATTTATTGCTCTTGTATTAGCTTTGGGATATCAATATTAAAAATTAAAGTTTTTAGCTAACAGCCTAAAGCCTGGTCAGACTGCGCAGATGTGACAAAATCTTTTTACTTTCTGTTCCAGTAAGGAAAGGATTATAAATAAATAAATATTTCTTGCATGTCAGACTTGCGTTTCCGTTAGTTTTACCCATGCCGGAAATTTCATCTGGCATGGGGGATGCCAGATGAGTCGCGTGCTGTACAATGGCACGCTTAGGATGACGTCATTTTACCGTTATGAATGAAGTTGTAACTTCATACGCTGTTGAAAGAAAGTAGTTACGGTTGTAATGATACTAATTACCATTGAAAAAGATAAAGAATTTAATATAAAATGGAATATGGTAGAATATGCAAGAAAAAATATCTCGAAATTTTTGGGGTTTTGGATCGGAATATCACCCCTCGGTAACCCCCTTGGGGACGGTTTTCGCCGAACAGAAACAAGACAATTTATTAATCCAATAGAGGAAATTCCCAAAAAAAGAAGTTTTTAATTTAAGAAAAATTTCATTTTTCCTTAATAAATTGCCTTAGGTTTATCCCTTTTAAAAAATTATTATAATAATTTTAAACGGGAACCTAATTTTTTTTAAAATCTTCCCAAACAAAAATACAAAGAACCGCCTTAGAATCATTATACCATTTTTTTTTAAAAAATTTTAATTTTTGTTTATATTTTTTAAAAATATTTACATTCCACACCCAAAAATAATCTAAAAGTTCATTGAATCTAAAATTATACAAAAAAACAAAAGACTCGCCAAATACATTAAATTTTGTTTTAGTTCTCAATCTCTTTGAAGTATTCCATAAGTAACCAAACTGAACAACGTCTAACCAGTATACTCTGACAGTGGAAAAGTGCAAATTCCCTGAAGGACCTGATTATGAACACATATGGAAGGCTAGTACAATATCAATCAGGTCCCTTAGCAAAAGATTTAGCGGAAATCAATTTATAACAAGATATGCCGGAGTCAATTATCACTTTATTTGCAACATGTCCCATCAGAATTGAAAATATTTCTAGAGTATTTGTAAGGTGAATGTCGGAATGTCACTGCGAAAAGTAATTAGATATATGTCACTCATACAGAATTCAATCTAGCTAACAACTTTACTCGTTTTGATTGGAATTGATCATCTGAACATGATGTGACACACGTATTCCTCCTGACATTTTACTTTCTAGAATATAATCATACTATAAAACGATTAACAGTAATGTTATCTGATGTCTGGCTTATTTATTAAAATGAACTTTTATTTTGTTCACACTTTGTTTCAATTTGAATGTTGGGAGCACTCTAAAGTCTATACTTCATTGTATTTGGCTTAAATGACAGCTTTAAAAATACATAAATACATTTAGGAAAAATGAGTATATTTTATAGTCAAATAAGAATAAAATGTACTTTGAGGTCTACAACAGTCATTTTTTCAAAATTAAGATGATCCGTCACTAACTGTGACTACAAATGCAAATGCATATTGTTTTAAAAATAAAATACACATTAAAATGATAAAATAAAAACTATAATACAACGTAAAAATACATGTTGTTACGTGTTGTTTGCTGATCATTAATGGATTTCACGTTTAATTTTTCTAGTTACATGTTAAATATTTATTAATTTAACACTTGCCAATGTGATGAGAGAAATCTATGTTTATGTTCAAACTGATATGTTCTTGCACGTTAACTCTAAACATACAGTGCTGAAAAGATACAAATGTGTTTTTTCCCGTTGTAAACAATTGTTTGTTGTTGGGTTTTTGCATAATTTGTATGAATAAAAAGACAGTTTTATGCATATAACAATAATAAACAGTATAAAAGCATCACGTACACACGCCAGAAGTAATAAAATATTGATAAGACATTATTATTATGATGAATGTTAACTGTTCCAGATGGCCTCATAACAATGAGCTTATAGGTCTGGTTACCGATGACGTCCATATTTTAAATTTAATAGTTGAAAATCAATTCAGTGTAGGGTCAATTTTCGCAAAGGACTATTTATGTTTCAGATAAAGAATATAATCATGATGTTTCAACTGTAAATGTCCAAACTATCACAGGAACATGTAATTTGATATATCAGACAAATCTACAGACACTAATCTAACAACTTAATAGAATTAATTCCAATCATATGTGGTCTCTGTCTACCGCGATCCTCTACTTTATATCACGATTAACCATGCTACTTCAGATTATTCATACATGTTATTGTATTTGCATTTTATATATTTTTACTATGTTTTATATATGTTAAGATAATTCACTGTTTGAAATGATTATTTGAATATGTGATGATAAATATCAAAGACCACTAGATGATATTATATTATCAGATATTTATAATTATTATGGAAAAAAAACATTATATATCTTTATTGAATATTAAAATCACTACAAATCAAGTATTCTAACACAATTTTTTCCGGATTTTAAAATGGCAGTCTTATATTTTTTACCGTCACAATAAATACATGTTTCAAAAATTAAAAGAATGTACTTAAGTTATTCCTTTGACGTGACTACCAATGAAACGATGTTTAGTATTTCTGCTAAAATTCCGTTGATTTATGATATATATATTATTCAATTGCATTTAAATATAGTAGTAGTTAGTATCATCAAAATATTATTCACTGTTATTATTTTAGTGATTTTATATATATAAAGGTAACCTTAGCAGTAAACTTCTTTTATTGCAATACAGACTATTGTTGTAACATGTTACTGTCAATCAAAACACTGACAGATGTTATCTCAGATATTAAATTTTTACGTTCACCAGTGTCTTGATTTAATTATACAACGCCTATTCTTTAATGGCATTAATCAGATAAACATACACGCGATAAGATATTTGTAACGTGTCCTTACTACTTAATTATCAAGTAATTATTTATGATTCTTTTAGGCAATCTCATGTATAAAAAATAAATCCAGTAAAGCTTTTTTGTTTACTCGGTTCGTTGAGCCTGTTCATGGACGACAGTAAAGAGTGCAAGCGAAATTGAATTTAAAAAAACACAGGAAACTGGTCATACTTTCTTCGCGACATTGTATATTACAGTTGCCTATCGTGATGAAGAGATGTTACTGTTCGCCACTAAACGTGTCAGGAACCACTTTTCTTTGAAAACGTAATAAGATTTTTTATGTGTGTCTTAAAATGAAATATGAAACTTTTAAGATAATATCATTTCACATGATTGGATATTCATATCGGACATTAATGGCGATCAATCTATTGGTACCAGGCTGCGTTTGCTGCAACTCCTGCATGCTAATTAATATTATTGGAAAAGTTTTATTGTGTGAGAGACGAGGTTTTATGGACTGATTAATCAACCATACAAGTTTTCCACATGCGCTACATGGGATATACGTGCTTTATTTAGATCATGAAATTGTATTCAGGCCTTACAACTTTATCAGGTAATATTCTTTTATTTTATATCATTTCGATTTATCGGAACCTACAGCATCATTTATGTTTTTGTTTAACATTTATAAAACATAATTGCAAATTTATAAAGGGCAAGTTTGCCAAATACATTGGAAATATATCTTATTATTTAATGTTTTTAAAACTAATACTTTTAAAGGATCGGTGATTATTGTACATTATTGTACATTAATAAGCACTGTAGGTATTTTCTTGAACAGAGTTTCTAGTGTTTGATATTGGGGGTATTTGAACTGAAAACTCTGGATATTTATAAGCATTGAGAGAGTAAAAAGGAATGTTAATTGCATACTTCAAGTCATAATAGATCATAAGACTTTTATTTATTTTAGTATTTGAATGAAAACATGCTGATGCTGTCACAATGAAGCAGCGTGTACTGCAAATTTCGTGTTCCCAGTTTGACAGGAATAATACATTGAATAATACATTAGTTACAAATAAAACAACATCATTTCCAATTTTGTTGACTATTTTACGAGGCTGCCTTTATAGAAATAGTTCATCACTTCAGCTGTTTGTTGACTTAGTTGAGACTGACAAGGAACCTGAAATAAACAAAGATTTCGGTGCTCTCATGTATATTGTCACAGTCCTTTTATTATATTCATGTGGAATATTTTTCATGATAATGAAAAATTTGAAAAGGGAAAAGCATGAAGTTGACGAGGAACGGACGCTTGATGACTTCTTTCGAGGAATACCTGTCAGTGAAAAGGAGCGTGAACAAATAAATGTACACCGTATTGCTATACAAGCTTTCAATACATTAACATCCAGTAAATCACAGGAAATAAGTGGTATAGATGAGTTTGATTATTATCATCAAAATAAATCTTACAATGCCAACGTTCAATCTTATGGTGTAGATACAATTGAAGAAGATGAAGATGAGGAATATGAAAGTAATGATCTCATGTATGAAGATAATGACATCGACAGTGATAAAGAAAGTGACGCGGAAACATCTGATAACATAGAATAAACACAGCATGCCTACACTGTAAATGTATGTTCAAGCGGAATGAAAGAACTTAAACACAAAATAAGTTAATTTCTAGTATTCTATCAAACATTTAAAATTATTTTTTGTCATCTTTCCATATAAAAGCGTGTTGAATTTCATAATTGAAATATAACATTGTGTGTGCTGATACTACAATAATAAAGGAATAAAACAGAACTTCATGCGAGTTATAGTTGACAGTTTTGAATAAACGTCTTGGTATATTTAAAAGAATAGAATTCAAAAATTATAAATGATTTTTTTTCAACAATTCGAATTTAGAAATAAACAACTTGTTAATATATATCAATAACGATGAAGGGAAAAAATAGCATCCGATACATAGAAGTCCTATTAAAGAAAAGTATATGTATTGGTAATTTGTAAATGATTTTTCACGAACATTAATTTACATTCTGTGGACACTGTTTCTTGATTATTCAACAAATACTATGCATATTCTTACACCAATGTTGCGTTTTCGCTTTTTAACATTTTGTCCGATGTATATCTTCCTTTGACTACTGTTGCTTTACGCAGCAGGTCCTCTTTGACCACTAGGCCAATGGAGAATAATATTCGTTTTATAGACTTGCAACATTTTAACTCGCTACATTGATCATAAATAAACAATATAAGAAGCTTGAGATTTCCTATATTAAATATCATAGTACAAGTAATAGAGCTTTAACCAAATGAAAATTTGCCTATATTATGTTATTGAAATTTATCATTTTGGCATTAAGTTTACTGTGTCAGTCTTTTTCTATTTGTATTATATTATCATGTTTGCATTACATTTACTATGCTAGATTATTTCTTTTCTATTACTTTTTTCATGTTGGCATTACGTTTACTATGTTAGTCTTTTTCTTTATTATATTACCATTGTGGAATAAAGTTTGTTATATCAGTCTATTTCCTTTTATATGACCTTATCATTTTGATATTTAGTTTGCTATGTCCGTCTATTTTGTTTTGTAGTTTCCTTTTATATTGGCATTACCTTGGCTTTATCAGTCTATTCCCTTTTGTATGATAATATCCCGAAAGTAAGACTCGGGGTGCACGTGTACACAATAAAATAAATACAAAAGGACAATAATTGTTGATGTTTTTGTTAATTATTTTCAATTAATAGCTATAATAAGATTAAATGATTACAAAATAGAGGAAAGTCTCGTTAGGTAGTAGGTTATTTATTTTGGGCGAAATTGAATGCGCCTACTGATAATGAATATGTGCCTAACGCAGTACAATATACTTATTACTGCCTTTGTTGTCTCTGTAAATACCCAAGCAGAAAGTTTTATGAAGGTACTATTGACGAAATAACTGATGTAAAAATATGCTGCAAATGTCATTTAAAATAGTACGTAAATAAAGTAAATGGTCCCGGTACTTTAAAAAATAATCACAAAGAAGTCATCGGAAATCATCAAGACTGGTGGCCATCAAAATACAACACTGTTGTAGTGCCGAGGATAACCAGGGTTTCATCTTGTCACTATGGTGTCAAACTGTAATTACACACCTCCTCTATTGTTTGTGACAGGTCTATATTTTTCGGATAGACCTGTTTAAACAAATGAAAGTCCGTTATGAGATTTATCTTTTGCACGTGCACAGGTCTGTTCTAGTCAAACAGACCCGGTCATGAAATACACGTGAAAAAATTGACCTGCCAAAGCGCAGACAAAGAAAACATGATATGCAATCAATGGTCCTTATTTTAGAGGGGTCGGACCGACTACCCCGGATGTAGAGACATCTTAACCACTTGTTAATGTGTTTTCATTGTAAATGTCAGTATGTCTAATGTCATACATTAAATTGTTTATTTCGTAAATATTTCGGTCTAAAGCACATTTTTTAACATTTGTAAGAGCATGTCTGAATACTACTTGAAACTTGAAACTTGAAACTTGAAAACTTGATTTAACGCCTATTTCTACATATAGAATACATATTCAATGGCGTTGTACAGCTATATACCTTATATGTGCTACTCCCAGTGCTACCATACACAATACTCCCAGCAGTGCGACGGTCACAGTGATTGGGTCAATCCCCACCAACATGTAACAATCTACACCCCTAAGCACCCCTGCACATGATAACACATGGGCTAGACTTTATTATATATAATACATTGAAAATAATAAAAACACTAGAAATATACAAACATGCACAAAACAATTAGGAACAGACAATTCCTTCAGCGTCACTTAAAAAAGTGCAAAAAAGTCCTTGAAGTAAAATGATTTCAGTTGTCTTTTGAAAATTTCAACAGATTCGCATTTTCTCATATTAATAGGTAGTTCATTCCACAATTTTGGTCCTATCGTGCTAAAAGCTCTGTCAGAAAAAGTCCTCTTCTTATTAAAAGGAACAACATAACAACCAACTGAGGAAATACTACTAATATATTTACATGTAGTAATTCACTTTTTAAAAAAAAAATCTCAGATTAAACAATGCATTATGTTTAATTAAGTCCAAATTGCCAATCTAGATAAATGAGTAAGGAGAACAATGTTATCAGTATTATCTTCTTTTAATGACAATATCTTTATCAATTAACTAAGACTATATTACATTATCACATAAAGTTATTTGAACGTTTCTGCCGGTTACAGCGTTTCATAAACGGTTTCTATAATCATCAAGAAAAATGTTTTACATTAAGTTGTTACTTCTGTTAAGTATTGGAACAGGTTTTGATTCTTTAAATAATAAACAGAGACTGGATATTCTCGAAACAAAACTGGAGAATGTCTTGAATAAAAGTGAAATTGGTATTCTGGAATTGGAAGAAAAAATTCAAAAGGTTGGTACTTGTAATTTGCACCTCTGTAACGAAGCAAATGTTAATGTATCTAATGAGACGGCAATATCAACATATGAGCTAAAGGTACAAATGGATAATATCAACAAAACGATAAAAGATGAAATAGATAAAGTGTTTGCTTATATTGAGAAAAATTCTCATGCACTGATGGATGAATTTCAAAACACACTCACAGTTCTTATGAATCAACACAGAAATATGAATCAAAAGATCAGATTTAACTCAAACAGCGTAAGGAAACTAGAAGGAAAACATCGGAAATCACCATCTATCAAAAATGACCAAATGAAGATGTTTGAACATAAGATATCTGTTCTTGACAATGACCTGGAGAAAATGATTAAGTCAATCACAAGACAAAGCGAAAGCATAGATAATATTGGGCAACATTTGTTAAAACTGGACAGAAAAGATGATGATTTCCTTGAAAAGATTGATCGTAACTACCGTGTTGTTTCGGGTCTAGATCACAACCTTGTTGAAATAGAAAGACGTTTTCGTGAATTGGCACTCGATTTGGGTACATTTAAAGACGACACAAAAAAGGAAATCAAAGAAATAAAAACGGAGCTTCATCTTGATCAAATGAGTACAGAAGCAATCACAATCCAAAAATCTTGCCCACAACATTGGGTTCAACATCAAACTAAATGCTATAAGTATATCGACGTTGCTGTAGATTGGAAAACTGCTTTAATGATGTGTCAGGATTTAAATGCTAAACTCGCTGAACCAGTTACAAAGGAAGAAATGGATTACATACAAAGATCATTTCAAGGTTGGATCGGTGCTATAGATAAAGCCGTTAACGGGACATTCCTTTGGGAAAGCTCTGAACAAATTGTTGAACAGTTAAGTTCAGAAATACCCGACAACCTTCCCAGTTCTCAAAAGTGTGCATATATCTTAAAAACAATGATTCGAGTTGAGCGTTGCGCTATAAGACTTCATTACATATGTGAAAAAGAAACTATTTGATCCACATCTTAACCTTTTTTGGCAAGTTGTATAATAACTGTAATAATGAAATATTAGTATAAATTACAATCATACCTCAGTATAGTGTGATAAGAAGTTTTAGCTAGGATGTCATCAGTAATGAATTTGATTTGTCTCTTATTTAATCATAGGTTAAATTACAAAATCACTTGCATGATATAAAACAATTTTCTATATCGATAAGTAAACAATTAAAAATCTAAAATTCGTTCAACCTGGTCTGACTGTACAGCTGTGCATGCTGTCCTGGCTCTACAATGATTGCAAATGTGTGATGAATAAAACTATTTTGTGCTAGATATAAATATGTTTATATCCGATAATATATCATCATATTTTTATAGTATATTGCAAACATTTCAATACGGACCGATTTTCTTTAGCGATGTCAAAAAAAAACAACATGTAAATGAAATCATTTGGAACAGTATCATGAATGTTCTTTCTCATGTTTGCCTCTATAATTCCAGTCTTTAATATACTCCAAGGAATTATTAATAGAGACAATATGTATACTTATACTTGCCTCGTTCTAAGTTGCAGTTAAGTATTCTGATAATACTTTTGTGTTTTATCTCGAATAAAATTATTTCCCTTAATGATATTTATAATGAAAGTCGAACAACTAAAATCATGATATATTTGACCAGTTTTCAGGCAATGTCTCTGATTGTATTTTGTATTGTTATATTCAGACGTATGCTCGCACAATTGTCAGTTAATTTCATTTTATCTGAAAGCTGATATAATTTAAGTACTACAAATGTTTCGTGTTGTTTATTGAAGTTAATCGTGCTGTATCTGTTCTATCACAGACAACACAATAAGTGTCAATTATGACAAAAGATAAAATGTATTATGTTGTACAAATTAAACCCAACTAATTATTGATTAACTTGGCCATCGTGTACCCTTGAATCTGTCAGAATGCCATATATAAAACTACATTTAACAGAAAATGATGAAAAATCTTTAAATCAACCAAAATCGAGTTTATCCGTGTTAATACATGACCTTACAAATAATTTTGAAGAAAACATATTGTTTTGTGACATTTCTTTTATATATATTTTTCATTAAGCAAATTTATATTATAATTGTCCAAAACGTAGTACCAATAAAGAAGTATTGTTGTGTTGACCGTGTATTAACTGATCGATGAGCAAATTCCTCTAGCATCTTTAATTATGACTAATTGGAATGCAAAAGAAATTTAATTGTGCACGAAGGAGGCTGGAGGATGCAGTCAATAATTTTGTCACAAAACAAAATTTAACAGCCTATTTCAAAATTTTTTTTTGCATCGCATAACAATTTTCAAATTTTAATCTTCTGAATTGTTTTAAATTTTTGAACCTTTTTTCAGCAAAATAATCAATCGCAAATGTTGAAAAGGATTTTCTAAAATATTTATCAATCACAGTGAATAAGTAAAATAATGAAAATCTGACATTTATGTTCATATTAGTAAGAAATGATGAATAGTGCCTGAATCCAAAATCGTATTTTATATTTAGGGACACAAGTTAACAGGATTTTTTTTATTTTGACAATTTGTCTAATAATGGCAATAAAAATAAGTGATTGATTATATTAAAAAATATTCTAATAACAAGAGCTGTCACAGAAGACAGCGAAGCTCGACTAATTAAATACTTGACGCAGTAAGGAAGACAAAACTATGAAAGAAAAATCAATTATGATATAAATATATTTCTTCTTATGACAAAAATTATAGTTGTTAAAATTTATACCAAGTTCAAGGGGGAATAATTCTGGAAATAGTCACACTAGAGTTATGAACCTTGTCATACAGCATGCGTGTAATGATAAGATTATATATTTGAAGTTTGAAGTAGATACCTTAAAAAGTAAAGAAGTTATAATTTGTCTTAAAAACAATTTTAAGTTTAAAGGGAGATAAATGTGAAAATATTTCTTCAAGAGTTATGATTCTTGTCACATAAGATGTGTTTGACGATAAGGAATATGTGTTTGAAGTTTGAGGTAGAGACCTTTAAAACTAAAGTTAGTAAAAAATAAGTAAACAAAATCATGGGTTGATAATTCTTGCAATAATGGTGCTAGAGTTATAGATATTTTTACTTAAGATGTAGTAAATGATAAGGAACATATATTTGAAGTGTGAAGTTGATCCCTCAAGAAATAAAGAAGTAACAGTAAAAATTTAATTTCTTAAGAAAATTTAAAGTTCAAGGGGAGATAAATCTGAATATATTGGTGCTAGAGTTATGGACATTGTCACATAGGATGTGGTTGATGATAAGCAACATATATTAGAAGTTTGAAGTTGATACCTTAAGAAATGAAAAAGTTATAGTGAAAAATATTTTACTGCACCAAAACTTTAATCTGAAATCTGGACGCGGACGCAGACGCCGAAGCCGACACCGGGGCGAGTAGGTCAGCTATCCATATACTTCGTATAGTCGAGCTTAAAATGCATCTGTTGTTTTGTTATGTTTTATTCAATTTTATATGGCAAAAAACGCTTTAAATGTGTCTGTTATAAGAAACTTCATTCACAAAGAAAATCTAAAGTAAGTTATTCTTGTAAAACCTCACGGTAATTTCTTTATTAATATATTTTTGACAATTGTCTGAAAAGTATTGTAAAAAGATTGAACTTTAATCATGTTCTACGGTTTACTTTGGTTTAACTTTTGTCATTTTAACTCAATATTAATATATATGTGAGAACAGTATTTCACTATTGATAAAAGTTCTTTTTGATTGTAAACAATTTTATTAAATGTATCTTTGAAAGCAATAACAACAACAACAAGTAAAAACCATCGCGACAAAACCCATTGATTACTCAAAAGTAAAACATAGACTTATAGAAACAATGATCGTTATGGGCAAGACATAATAGTTATTTCATACATTGTATATTACTAGATACTACAAAACAATTATTGTCTTCCTTAACACAACATTGAGAAATATTAAAATAAAATCTGACGACGTTATATGTAATAATTTATAATATTGCACCGGAAATTAACCAATATTTATTCAAGTATCTAAGTATCGGCCAAATTTACAGTAATTTTCTATTTATTCGAGTACCCTTCCATAACGATTTATAAATTTTGTTAGAGTATCAGTAAATATTATTTCCAGAAGATGAGTTGTGTCATCTCATCAAAAAGTATTTATCCAACAGGCTGATAAAAGTTCGAAAATAGGTCGCACGAGTATCAACTAAAGCATGATTGATTGTCACACCCTATAATGATATTTCCGAATAAAACACCAAAGGGAAGCTCATTTCGATTAATTGCACTCATGATCAAAATGATGCCAGAAAGCCGGGAGACAAAACCTGTAAGTCGGTACGGTACGGTGCGTGATGGCTCTTATTATGATCTCAGACATGACTTTTACTTTTCGATTATAAAAACAAAGCATATAATATTTATAATAAAAAAACTAATACTACGTATTTTACTCATGAATCAGGACCGACAACAGACTATGATTAAAAGCAACAAAATGCAATATCATTTTCGCAAAAACAGACACAGAGACGGTCGGACGTACAAATGTGCCAATTTTCAGGGTGGCCATTTTACATGCTGATGATGAGATTTCTTTTTTTAAGTAATCGCAATGTAGCTCATAAACCATTGGATCTTCCCCCAGAGGACAGTCAGGGTTTTTGGGGAGTGTCTGTTTATGCAAGATATTTCCTATTCACTTTATATAAGATAACCGAGGGCATCTATAAGACAAAAAGAAACAGTTACCCCAGATGCAGTAGAAGAAAAACGTAATATAGCCTAAACTCCCAAAGGTGCATCGCTAGATGCTCTATTCACGTTGATTACTTAAGGGTGTGACAATTAATCATCTGTGATCATGTAGTAACACATATGTGCCTTCTGTTAATAATATTCAAGGAGCGGTAAGCTTATATAAAATGATAATATAGCAAGATGATAGCAAAAAAAACGCATGATTCCCTTACTGCAAACCCCAATACTGTCGCAAAAACACATTCGAAATCGCTGACTATTGTCGTTATAAGTTTAAATGATAAACACATATCTGTAAACGGCGTAAACTGACAATATGCATATCTTAACGGTTAAATGCTTCCGACATCTGGGTATAACAAGAATCCTGAGAAAGAAGACCAAGACTCCAGAGATGTTAGTGGGTTGTCACAATCCCCTAGATAGACTGTGTCGCCTTTTTGAAGTCTTACAACCATCGAGTTAGTCACAGCCGTACTTCCAATATCTGCAGAGATATTATCAACGTCAACTTTAGGGCCGTCGGTAGGATCAACACGTAATTCCAGCATGGTTACTGTGTTTTTGTAAATAATACAATGTACCAGATCAACTTTTTCGGTATTATCATATGCACGCTTTTTGATGAGAGAGGCAGTGAAATAATACACCCCTGGTTTAGTACAAGAAAATATCCCTGTTTCCGCGTTAAAATCCGTTCCTTCGTTGAAATGAACTTTAGAATAGTTCTGTAGTTTATTTAGAGATTCTGCTGGAGACACAGATCTTGGGTCACTGACAGAGAATGCATTAACGATAGGTCGACTGTTACTAGATGTTTTATCATTGACACATGTTGTTTCCGTTGGCCCTTGGCAATTTTCCCTTGAACAACTCTCTTTCAGGTCTGCAAAATATACATGTTTATTCATGAGTTTTCATTTAAATTGAAAAATTATAACCAATCTACTTGCCAACTTAAAAAATATGATAAAACAACCAACAATTAAAAGTCGTAAAGTAATGAACATGTATATATGGATAGAACCAAATATACCAAAATTTATTGAATTGTTAACATCTCAAAATGAAAATATTATAAGAAAATTATTAATATTTATCTTTAAAATGTTTGAATCAAGAACAAATGTTGAATATTTGTAAATTATAGTAGCTAGGAAGGTAACTGTAATGTAAGTTATATCATTATGCAAAACCTGTGCTTCATGTAATATGATAATTCCGTTCATATTAAACCAAACTTATGTCTCAAATATACAGTAAATGTTAAATATATGCTTTATATGTTTAATGACTTTGATATTATGTTTCTGTTTGTATGTATGTTTGTATATATGCTGTGTACTCATGGGTATAAAATTCTGGAAACAAAGTGATCCCTCGGAAGCATTAATCACAACAAAATAACATAAGAATTGCAGACTCGGTTTGATTGAGTCTGTACATGAGTGATAATGAATAAGTGCAACATCACTCACACCCCCTAGCACCGGCTTGAGCGGTACTCAATTCTCAACACTTTATAGTGTTGGCATCAATGATCCCGAAGGACCAGAAAATATAACAACACTGAAGCGAAGTACGGGGCAACTTTTTACGGCTAGTGTAATATCGTCTAGTGTAACACTATAACCCACATGTATTTGGAAATAAAATCTATCATTTTAGTTGAAACTTAATTACTCTGTAACATTAAATTTGATTGAAATACAAATCAAAAGGTTATTATCAGTAATTAAAGATATGAGAACACATAGAAAACATATCCAAAGAAAATATATCAACAGGGGAGAGTAACTTTCATGGAACGCAGCCCTGTACTCCTGCCCTCAAGCTTCTGTACCTGACAATATCAAAGGGCTTTTAGGCAGATGAATAAAACTTTTTATAGCTGTCTCTAAAAGCCATGTTATATTTAAAGTACCTAAATTGTTTGAGCAAGTAAAATAGGATAAATACCTTTTATAGAATGTATATGTTTTTCGTATCTTAAAAGTTGAATGCCTCCAAATGAGCCAAAATATTATTTTTTTAAATCAAAGTTGAGAAAAAAGTTGTAAGATTATAAGAAAAGTAGAAATATTCAAGATTCAAGTAATTGTTTACATCTAGATCTTATTTGCAATAAATGACTGATTTTTCAGTATTTATAACCATATTTATACTGCCTGATTAACGCAGTAAGGGCTAATTTTGCATAATTTGAGCTCTTGCAATGTGTAAATAACTTTCTTCGTTCACTTCACAATACACTATCTTTAATTATCACATAAACCGTGGCGCAGGAGTGTAAGCCATTTAATAAAAACGATATTACACTAGACGATATTACACTAGTGTAATAACTCTTTGACGTGACGTCATTTGCGCTATAAACATAGCGTTAAAGCGCGCTAATGTTACCTTTACACTATAGGTGCATCAAATAAAAATGACTCTTGTTAACAGTTTACCGTTCTTATTTTATATATGTGATAAATGAAATTTTATATTTGTGTTGTTTCAATACTAAATTTATTAAAACAATATTATGCTCGCCAGAGGCTCGCATGATATGATTTTATTCAACTCGTTCGATAAATTTAGTATTAAATCTACACTCTTCAATATCATCTATATATATACATGTTTCGAATTTTTCATGATTTCTTATATCTAGAGGTGTGCTGCGTTGATGTAAGAATGGTTATAGATGATAACTACCCAGCAGGCACACGACGTTGTTTCAACGTTGAAACAACGTTGAAATATGGTCGTGACGTTGTTCAACCAATATTCAACTATGGACGATCATACGGATATACAGCCGATGTATATTCAACGTTGATTCAACGTTGTTTATGGTCGAAGTTTTACATTTATTTTGATCATTATTTAAACTTTCATACCACTAATTTTGTGTTATTATTCCTTTATTGAATAAGTCTGTAAGTGATTTTTGTCAGGAAAATTTGCGTTACAATCTTTTTCCGTATATTCAAAATTAGCGCTGAAACAAATAAAGTTGAAAATAATTTTTCACTTTCTATTAACGCTTTAAATATTAATTAATACCTTTTATTGTTTGTTGTTTTATTTTTTAGTTCTTTATGAATAAGATTAATTATAAATTGATATTAGTCAAAACCCCGTTTATAAAATACAAAATGTAACGCTGGTCAGGGGAAGTAATTGTTGCGGTCTATGATTTTGTTTGTTGTCTATGATTATCGTTCGTGCAAATGGTGGCGCTGTTTGGAAAATTTGAAAAACAACACGATTGGCAATTTATTTGGATTTCGAAGGTATTACCGTAATGTTTTACTTTAGCTTACTGATTATTTTCTAAATTATTATTATTTATTCTTAAAGTTCTACTTTAATTTACTTTATGAAATAAATGAGAGATGAAAACACATGATTGAGTTGATTTGACACGTTTTCGCGACCTAATTGAAAGATTTGGGTTCTGTAGGCCTCGTAAGCATGAAGTTATTGATGTCCTTGGCATTTTATGATTTTACAAATCTTGTCTTTCTTTAATTTATTTTTCATATTATTAAACAATTGTCTGTACTATATCCTAATAAGAATTTAATCATTTATAAAATTGAAACCTATAAAGTAGTTCGGCCCACATAATTTACGTCCCAAGACGATTCGTCAATATATATAACTATGTTTATATTTTAGTGAAAGTATAATACAGTGTTAATTAGTTTGAAAAAAAAACACAATATTATTAAGTTAAATAACAAATTTGAGTGTTAAACTTTAAAGTTTAATAGTCGTAAATTTATGGGGAATAATAAATCTATTTCTATTTTATTATATATTATTTTATATTCTAGATCCTGGTCCTGGTTGGAATTTAGAGTATTGCAGCTGTAGCCTGTATACCATACATTCAACATGAAAAGGACTGTCAGGTTTGTTAAATTGAAATTTATTCTTATTATTTTATATATTTGAATTTCTTTAAAATACAATGATTATGTATAAATTTTTTAACTAGATTCTACTGGATATTTGTCTTGTCTTAAAAAATATGATTTTCGGAATATTCATGTAACATTATTTATATAAAATTTACATGTTTGTTGATTTCAGGATGCTGCATAAAATGGTCTTAGCTAGAGCCTAGAATGTTAATTTCTTGGGAATATGCTGACCAATCATAGGTGAGACTTTTAAATAGCTTCTTTTTAAAAAGATTTTGTTGTCTTATATACAGTATTTGCTGTCAACATGAAACTTAGCTATGTTTCAATTTCTATGCTGTTTTATGATGTAAATCTTAGAGAAAAGCATTTTAAGATAAAAACAAATCACTAAGTTGAGTAATTATATGTAAAATTTGAGATTGACCAAGTCACTTTTAACTACAAACTTCTTATTTTTATTTGCAGAAGCAGTAAGAGACAGCCTAAGAAGTACTCAAACACTTGACATACCCAGAAAGATCTAGAAGAAAAGATTGGAACATATTGTAGTTTTAAAGTGAATTTAAGCTGCACTTCAACTGTATTTTTGAAATAAAATATCTGAAGTATTTAATATTGTCTTGATATTTTGTTAAACTTGGTTACTTTGCTTTATATCCAAAAATTAAAGTATGGTGGGTTTTCAACGTTGAAATGACATTGAAACTTCAACGTTGTGCCAACGTTGAAGCTGCAACGTTGTATCAACGTTGAAATTTCAACGTTGTTTCAACTTTCAAATCCGAATATAAATACAACCTTATTTCAACGTTGAAATCTGACCATAATTCAACGTTGAAACAACGTTGATGTGCCTGCTGGGTAAAGATGCTATGGTGGCTGATGTGTGCCACTTTGTTGTATTATCGTGTGAAAATACGACATGGCACATATCAGCAACCATAAAATGCAGAAATCGAAATCGAAAGTAGGAAATTCAGGATGTATAAAGTATAATAAACGTTCATGGTTAACAGAAATTGACGGTCTTACATATCATATTGGCCAGCTTTAATTGTCTAAATGCCCATAACTGAATTTAATTTACTTGACTTAAATTTGAAAAACTCACCATGTACATCAGCAGATAGCAGATAGCGGTACTCTAGCTGTAACGTCTCCAGTTTTTGTATATAAAATATCATCTCTAAACTTAGACAGAGAACTAGAAATGACAATATATAATTTGTCATATTTATTCATTAAATGTCTTAAAATGTGTAAAATATTTTCAATATACTACACAAGTCTTTCCAAAACCGAAAGTTGAATTAACCCGTATTAACTTAATACATATATACTTTTAAGGACGTGATAAACCAAGCATTTCGCGCTAGGATGCTGCATGTCTCACATTAAATGTTTCGAGATACCTAACCATCTCTCTATATAAATATAATTAAAACTGGCTGTATTGCATAGTTAATATCACAAATCAACTTTTGTATATATTAAAGATATACTGTGATCATCCTTGAGCATGGAAATTAATTGAAATCTAAATATGTCTAATTTGAATAAAGGAGAAACCGCTCCAAAATTCATTCTCGTATAGAGCAGCTGGGAGAACTTTAGTTTCGTAAATACGCCTTGAAGTCCATTTTCCCTATTCCACTGTTAGTTAAGCTAAAGAACGTTTTCCCAGGTTTATGTTTTCACTTATGTTTTTGCTATGTGTACAAAGAACGCCCAGATGGGTATATTAATTAGTTTCATTTTAATTTAATTCCCATTTTCCATAGTCTTAATTAGGTTGCTACATTTACTATTAAAAACGCTGCGGGTTTTTTTTTTGTGTACTTAAAACATGTATCTGTAAGTTCATCGAGTCCTTTTTGACATTTGAAATGATGACCATATCTGAGGTTGGACTTTTACACATATCAATCATGTGCATTTATGAAGAAGATATAGAATTGAGGACTACAACATTGTCCTTCATGTCCTTGACGTGTACCTTGCAGGACGGGGAATCGGTCGGAGACAAATCCATTTGATTTTACATAGCTGTAACAGTTTTCGAGAAAGATTTAAATATTTGAAACAAATATATATCAATACCACTTTGATACAGTTTAAGTAACAACACAAGAGCTTGACATTCTGTAAATAATTGAAGAATATATGCAAATAATTTAAAAAGTAAAGGCAAATATATCCCTCTTTACTATAAATTGACATTCTGTAAATAATTGAAGAATATAAGCAAATAATTTAAAAAGTAAAGGCAAATATATCCCTCTTTACTATAAATTGACATTCTGTAAATAATTGAAGAATATAAGCAAATAATTTAAAAAGTAAAGGCAAATATATCCCTCTTTACTATAAATAAACACAAGGAATACAACGCCTTTTACAGACTCGATTCAATGTTTATCTAATTACACGCGTGGAAATCAATTTCGATATACAATACACTATTATACATTTTACAAAAGCTGATATTTTAAATCAAAGCATTACATGATAATAAATTGCCTATATTTACTCAAATGTCAACAAAATATTTTGTCTGGCACTCCATGCGCAATGGTTACAATGAAGAAATCCAAGTGTGGACGCATCTTAAAAAACATGTATACATTGGAGAATTATTGTCCATGGAATAGCATACACATTTGCGATGCAAAAATGCTGTCATCAAACAGCTATCTTTTTTGGAAGATTTAAATGAATGCCAGCCATGCCGCAAAATTTAACAGCCTATTTCAAAAACTAATTTTGTATCACATAACAATTTTCAAATTTTAATCTTCTGAATTGTTTTAAATTTTTGAACCTTTTTCAGCAAATTAATCAATCGCAAATGTTGAAAAAGATTCTTTAAAATATTTATCAATCACAGTGAATAAGTAAAATAATGAAAATCTGACATTTATGCTCATATTAGTAAGAAATGATTAATAGTGACTGAATCCAAAATCGTATTTTATATTTAGGGACACAAGTTAACTGGATTTTTTTATTTGACAATTTGTCTAAGTTTATGGCATTAAAAATAAGTGATTGATTATATTAAAAAATATTCTAATAACAAGAGCTGTCACAGAAGACAGCGAAGCTCGACTTATTAAATACTTGACGCAATAAGGAAGAAAAAACCAATTAGGATATAAATATATTTCTTCATATGACAAGAATAATAGTTGTTAAACTTTATGCCAAGTCATTCTGGAAAAAGTCATACTAGAGTTATGAACCTTGCCACACTGCAGCTTGTGTGTAATGATAAGAAATATATATTTGAAGTTTAAAGTAGATACCTTAAAAAGGTAAAGAAGTTATAATTTTTCTTAAAGACAATACTAAGTTCAAAGGGAGATAAATGTGAAAATATTGCTTCAAGAGTTATGAACCTTGTCTGATGATAAGGAATATGTGTTTGAAGTTTGAGGTAGATACCTTTAAAACTAAAGTTAGTAAAAAAACATTTTTTAAGTGAATATTTGTGCTAAAGTTATGAATCTTGTTACATAAGATGTAGTAAATGATAAGGAACATATACTTAAAGTGTGAAGTTGATCCCTCAAGAAATAAAGAAGTAACAGTAAAAATAACATTTCTACAGAAAATTTAAAGTTCAAGGGGAGATAAATCTGAATATATTGGTGCTAGAGTTATGAACCGTGTCACATAAGATGTTGTTGATGATAAGGAACATACATTTGAAGTATATGGTTGATCCCTTAAGAAATAAAGAAGTAACAGTAAAAACATGATTTTTAGTTCAAGGGGAGATAAATCTGACAATATTGGTGCTAGAGTTATGAACATTTACACATAGGATATGGTTGATGATAAGGAACATATACCTGAAGTATGAAGTTGATCCCTTAAGAAATAAAGAAGTAACAGTAAAAAAAAAATTAAGGAAAATTCTAAGTTCAAGGGGAGATAAATCTGAAAATATTGGTGTAAGAGTTATGAAAATTCTCACATAGGATGTGGTTGATGATAAGGAACATATATTTGAAGTTTGAAGTCGATGCCTTAAGAATTGAAAAAGTTATAGTGAAAAATATTTTACTGCACCAAAACTTTAATCTGAAATCTTGACGCGGACACCGACGCCGCGGCGAGTGGATCAGCTATCCATGTACTTCGAATAGTCAATCTTAAAATGCATCTTTAGTTGTTGTTTTATGTTTTATTCAATTTTATATTGCAAATAAACGCTTAAAAGGTGTCTGTTATAAAATACGTCATTCATAAAAAAAAATCCGAATTAAGTAAGTTCTTCTTTTAAAACCTCACGGAAATTAATATATTTTTGACAGTTGTCGGAAAAGTACTGTAAAAAGACTGAACTTTGATCATGTTTTACGGTTTACTTTGTTTTAACTTTCGTCATGTAAACTCAATATGAATATATGTGAGTACAGTATTTCACTATTGATAAAACTTCATTTTGATTGTAAACAATTTTATTAAACAAATCTTTGAAAGCAACAACAACAACAAGTACAAACCATCGTGACAATACCAGTTGATTAATCAAAAGTAAAACATAGACTTATAGAAACAATCGTTATAGACAAGACATAATTGTTATTTCCTACATTGTATATTACTAGATACTCCAAAAAAATATTGTCTTCCTTCATACAACAATAAAACCTGACGAGGTTATATATGTTATAATTTATAATTAACCAACATTTATGCAAGTATCTAAGCATCGGCCAAATTTAGAGAAAATTTCTATTTATTCGAATACCCTTCCATAACATTTTGTAACTTTTGTTAGAATATCAGTAAATATTCTTTCCAGAAGATGAGTTTTGTCATCTCATCAAAACATATTTATACAACAGGCTGATAAAAGTTCGTAAATATCCAAATAGGCCGCTCGAGTATCAACTAAAGCATGATTGATTGTCACACCCTATAATGATCGTTCCGAATAAAATACCAAAGGGAAACTCATTTCGATGAATTGCACTCGTGATCAAAATGTTGACATAAAGCCCGGAGACTAAACCTGTTACTGGTTATAGAAACAAAATAAAAGAAGTCAATTTCCTCGGGTACAGTGCGTGATGGCTCTTATTATAATCTCAGACATGACTTTTACTTTTCGATTATAAAACCAAAGCTTAATAACCTCTGATCCCCTATCAAAATTCCATTTTATTTAGTTCTGCCCATTGTCTTCTCGTTTAGGGCACACGCTTTTTATCACTTGGGGACCATACGCCGCTTTTCATGGAATGGCACGGAAGTGTCACATTGAAGGTTCCATGAAAACCGCCGTATGAACACATCTGCGGATGTTTCTAAATTCAAAATTTTACTATTTCACGTTTAAATGTTGAATTCTGCTTAAGCCGGTGCTAGGGGGCGTGGACGGTAACTTGCACCTTCAAGTACCGTCCATGAACAGGCTCAATCAAACCGAGCCTGCAACATTTTCAATTTTGCCGTGTTGGGCTTTCTTTAGGGATTCTGTATTTATCTATTTTATGATCACATCCGTGTTATTTGTGCCGTGTGGCGGCTGTAAAAAGTCTCCCCGTACATTTAATCAATGATGTTATATTTTCGATCCTTGAAGATCGTTCAGCACGACATTATTGTTGTGCTTGTGGTATTTTTATTTTCACCTTTTCGGCATTTTCTAGTTGGGTGGTTCCAATATTCCTACTTGAATAATGTTGAATCACCCTAAGGATATGTTGCCTGCTTTTTAAATTTGTCTTTTGACGTCTTATCTGTGATACGCAGGCTTCATAACCTCTGATCCCCTATCAAAATTCCATTTTATTTAGTTCTGCCCATTGTTTTCTCGTTTAGGGCACACGCTTTTTATCACTTGGGGACCATACGCCGCTTTTCATGGAATGGCACGGAAGTGTCACATTGAAGGTTCCATGATAACCGCCGTATGAACACATCTGCGGATGTTTCTAAATTCAAAATTTTACTATTTCACGTTTAAATGTTGAATTCTGCTTAAGCCGGTGCTAGGGGGCGTGGACGGTAACTTGCACCTTCCAGTACCGTCCATGAACACGCTCAATCAAACCGAGCCTGCAACATTTTCAATTTTGCCGTGTTGGGCTTTCTTTAGGGATTCTGTATTTATCTATTTTAAAATATTAATAATAAAAAACTAATACTATGTATTTGACTCATGAATCAGGACCGACAACAGGCAAAAAAAATGATTAAAAGCAACAAAATGCAATATCATTTTCGCAAAAAGAGACACAGAGCCAATATTCAGGGTGGCCATTTTACATGCTGGTTTATGAAATTTCTTTTTTTTAAGTAATCGCAATGTAGCT